TATATATATATATATCTCTCTCTCTCTCTCTGAAAATCGAATCTTTTAGGACGTAAGGCCTCATCTTGTCAGCCACAAGTTTTCTACAACAGCTAATTGGTACTTTCTTTATACAACATTGAAATTTTAATTTTGAAATTACAAATGACAGCATTATTTTTGTTCTCAATCATCACTGGAAATGGTAAAAGTTTTTCTGGAACTAGGAATTATACAAGGTGATATGATTTTAATTCAATGTCATAAAAGTGGAGTCTGATGTAATGAATTTGTAACCACTTCAGAATTAATCAATCTAATTTTGTATTAACCCGCGGGTTGACTTAGTAGGTGAGAACTCAATCAACTGTGCCTCTTTAAATATCAGGTGTCAAGTTCGGATCTTTGAGTAAAATTTTGTGGGAATACCTACACAGATTAAATTATAATTAGACTAAATTCTTTACTTGTCCTATGCATGTGGCTTGTGAGCTATTGTATGTATAGTGAGATGAATTAGTCTCACCCATAACGACTTCATCTTAATAAAACAATAATAATAATAATTGTAATTTTTTATTCTTTAGTGACTCTACTGCTTAGAAATGTGAAAGACACGTGCAGTGACTTAATAAACTGGATAACGTATTTACAACTACTGGTTGATACAATTATGGAAAAGATGTAACTAAATATGGTTTAAGACTTAAGTTATGACTTAAATAGAGTAAAAATCATAAATTAGGGTTTTTTGTAACCGGACTGCAAATAAATTAATAGGGTAACAATAAACAACTCAAGTAAATAACCAATCAGTAATACCTCAATTGTATAACAACCAAATTTGAATTGGTATGATGCAAAATTTATAATTTAGGGGAATTTCGTGCTATTAACCAAAACCATGGGATTCTCATGTGATGTTTTATTAGCCTTCTATTTCTTAACAAGAACTTGTGTTATGCTATTAACCAAAACCATGGTTATTTGTCCAAATTTAGTGAAGGACGACAATATTGGAACTTTTCTATAATTAAAGGAAGTTCTGTATGGTCAACTCTTATACTATGTGGAAAATTATTCTATAGTCTCGGGTCAATTATTAGTCGATTTATTTAAGTTTTTCATTTACATGTAGTTAATGATTGGTCGAGAACATTAATTCTGAGATTATATAATAATTTTTCATGCAATTCGAGCCAGAGAGGGCTGAGACTAACCCGACTACCTCTGGTGCACCGGTGAGGATCCGGGTCAGGCCTCCGACTCAGGGCCGAATGAAGAGTCACAAGTAGACAGGCAGTTCTTTGATAGAGGTATCTCTGTCTTCATTGTTTGGCAATTGGCAGGTCCTACTTGAAAACAGTACCACATAGTCCCTTTCACTGAGTTGCCTATGATTTTGCCATCCAGATCAAATGATTGAGATTTATCAGATCTACTAATTTTGGTTCACCAAATTGCAAAGTTGTTCCAATTCAGCTATATATGGGTCCCAATAGAGACGTGTTTAGAAATATTTTTGTTTCAATATTACATTTTGAAAGTAAAATGTTGAAAGTTTCAGTTTTTATAAAATGATTCGGGTGAGTTTTTTTGCGAGTATAAAACAGGTTTGCAATAAAGTCACGAAGATATAATTTAGGTAGAGTGTGATTCAATTATCTTTCAAATTTACAAATTTGAACAAAAACACCCGTAATCATTACAAGAGTGTACCTAATTGTCCTTTGACTTTTGAATTGGCCCATTTAAATCATTAAAGTACAATATTAACCTTTATAAGTCTTTTTATTTAAACAAAATAATCCTAGCTAGCTTAATAAAAAATAAAAAAAGAAAAAAGAAACCAAACTCCACCACTGTCCAACACCATATGCATACAATAGGGGGGAACTAGAAATTTTTAATTGGGAGACCAAACTAGAAATATAAAATTAAAATTTTAAAATAATATAAAATCATTGAAGAAATTTTATTATTATTTTGTGCATGTTTAATGCCCTTGCTGAAATAGATGGATTAGTTATATTATCTAGTACTTAAACAAAATTATAATACAAAATTTTGACTTTCCATCTCAAAAAGTAAGAAAGATGGTTTTTAAATATATATTTTTTAATTATTCTGCAGTAATATATTAAATGTTAAAAGACCATTTTTAATATTCAAATATTAAATATCACCTTCAAGTAATCACACACAAGTTAATCTTTTTGTTTCTTAGCATTTATTGAACACATTACTTATACAACATGTTACATTTTTCTTCCACAAAAATAAAGAAAAGGGAAAACATGTCACAATAAAATCATATTTGTTTTTTCATTCTTAAGGGTCATTTTGGTCAATTAATAGGAAGTTATAAAGGTAATTTAATGATTTATATGGGTCTTTACTCATTTTACCAAATTTGAAAGGTGTTATTATTAAAAAAGTGCTTAAGTTGTAGGTGGGTTATCTTTAACTCAAACATGAGGAAATGTCAATGCAATTTATCCAAAAAAAAAAAAAAAAAAAAAATTATAATGCCTTTCCAATTCTATCCTTTGGAAATTTAGTACTTTGGGAAATTTTTCTTTGCTTCTGATTTGAGTCTTTGGTTGACTCAGAGTCAGAACAGTGGTATACCGAATTGCTAAGGCTAGACGTCTAACATGTTATGATGAATGTTCTTTTTTATTTAGAAAGTGGTCAAGTGTAATTATGGGGTTGACTTTAAATAAAATAACGAGAATAATCCTTCATTTTGTAGATAAAAAAAGTGGATGGAATGATGATAGAGGAGGAAAAAAAAGATAAATATGAAGTTGACAATTTTTATTATTTGGTAATTTAATTCTTTGTATCATATAATTAAAATTCAAGACCATCAAATGGCATCCACAATTGCAAAATCACTAATTCGTTGAGAAATTATTATATAATTTTTGACCAATCACAAACGATTGCATAATTAATAAAATTAAATAAAATCAACATATTTAGTTACGTGACTATTTGTGAAAGTCACTCATTCATTGAGAAATTATTATATGACCGAAAATTATATGATTCTGATCAATCACAAATGATTACACCGTTAATAAAATTAAATAAAATCAACATATTTAATTACGTGACTGTTTGTGATTGATCAGAAACATATAATTCCTCAAATTTGAAAAGTCGTTTTTTCAATTTTATCATTTTTCTTTTCTTTTTCTTTCTTCTTTTTACCAATAGACCCTCATTGTCTACTTTGTTAATAAACAACTAATGCTGGAAAAAAAAAAACACAACTAATGATTTAACTAATTAAAAGTGAGCAAGACATTGTGTATTGCATATCATTTTCCTCCCTTCTCTCTTCTATATAGTTTTGGACTGATGAAATATTGTTGGAATATTTCACCCGCACAACCACATCTTTAAAATATGCATAACATAAACATCATGATGGTCCCAAATTACAATTTTGTTTTGTATTTTTTATTTTTTATTATAGATTAAATACTCACAAACGTGGAAACATAAATTTGAGTTTTATAGCATCTATTTTATACAAAATTATGTCAATTGGTTTTTTACCAAGTCTTGTCTCTCTCAATAATCTGCACAGACATCCACCTAATGCTTCTTACTTTTATCATAACTCTATTAAAATACGTAACTATAGTCCAATATATATATATATATATATATATTCGTTCTAAAGTCTGGAAAGAAAAAAGAAAAAAAAAAGTGCATAATGCGTGTCAATTACTTTTAAGTACATATAATTATCAAAGAAAAAGCTATAAAAACAATGTCATTTGAGTTTCTACCTGCAACCATTGGATTGAGACACGTTTGTATCTTCAACCGTTGAATTGAAACAAGGACCATAAACATCTACATGTTCATTCTAATTTTTTTTTTTTTTTTAAAAAAAAAAACTGTTCATAGTGCATGTCAATTACTCAAGTGCATATAAAAATCAAAGAAAAAGCTAAGAAGAGTAGTGTGGGATGAGTTTGTACCTTCAACCGTTAGATTGAGATGGGCATTTTCATGATCCAAGTGCTTAAACTTACATATGGACTTAATTAAACTATGTCATTTGAGTTTGTACCTTCAATCGTTGGATTGAGACACGTTTGTTTCTTCAACCATTAGATTAAGACACATAAAATTAGAGCTGTACATTTATATATTCGTTCGAATTTATTAAAAAAAAAAAGTTGTTTATAGTGCATGTCAATTATTCAAATACATATAAAAATCAGAGAAAAAACGACAACAATAGCGTGTCGAAAGAATAGGTACCTTCAATCGTTAGATTGAGATGACATTTTCATAATCCAATAGCTTAAACTCACACATTGACTTAATAAAAGTGTGTCATTTGAGTTTATACATTCAACCGTTGAATTGAGACACGTTTGTTCTTTCGACCGTTAGATTGAGACACATAAATTAGAGCAGAGCATCTATATATTTATTTCAATTTATTAAAAAAAAAAAAAAAAAAAAAGGTTCTTAAGAGCGTATCAATTATTCAAGTTCATATAAAAATTAGAAAAAAAAAATGTCTCGAAAGAGTTTGTACCTTCAATCGTTAAATTGCGAAGACGTTTTCACGATCCAACAGCTTAAACTCACACATTGACTAATTATCTATTCTACTTACGCAAATGTAGCATATCAATATTTTATTATATTACCAATCTTTTTTTAACAAATTAAAAAAAAAAAAGATAAACATTCTTAGAGGCATTTTATCTATAAAAATAATTAAACATTCTCAGAGGCATTTTCGAAAACAATGCAGAATTTCAGAAAACATAAATTTGAATTTGCACGCAATATAATTTTATACTAATTAAATATAAATAAATAAAACCGAGGAGATCCAGAGCATCACGTCGCAATCACTAACAATATTATTCTTTCTTCTCTCTCATTGACCTGGCTAAACTCTCTCTCCGACTTCAATGGCGTACCACAACAAGCTCAATACGGAAAAAAAAAAATAAAAAATTAAATAATAAAAAAGTATGAAATAGAAAGAGAGAAGAAAAATAATAGTAAAACCAAAACCCATTTGTCACATTACATCAAACCGCACTGAGAATCTCTCAAAACACATGATTTTAAAATATAGAGAGAAAGTTGAAAATTAAAAATAAAAAAAGAATTACATGGGTTGATAATGATGATGATAATTCATGGAGAGCCATTACCGGACCGATCAAAGTGGAGGAGGTGACCGTTACATTTGGGGCAATCCTCAACCTGTTTGGGCACCATGAAATACATCAGACAACTCTTGCAACCGGCCACTACCAGAACCTGATCATCTCTTTGATTCTCCACCGTCTGATGATGGCTGTGCTGTTGATGATGATGATATTGCTCTCCAGACGAAGATAGTGGCGAAGACTCCGATGACGAGCCTTCGCTGTCGTAGGAGCTGTCGTTTTCCGAATAGAAATCTCCGCTGTACTCCGCCGTCGTCCGGGGATCGTCTTTGGCTTTCATTCCGGTCCGCCAGTTTATGTAGTATACCTCTCCTGTCTGCAACAACAGGATTAGATAATCTTCAAATTAAAAACAAAATAGAACTTTCAAAAATAACATTTACCCATTAAAAGAGAATAATACCAAAAACAGAACTACTAGCATTCTATCAAAAACAACAACTACCCATCAAAAAAGACTATCAAATGAAGAAACCCATTCAATGAAAGTTTTTTTCTTTTTTCCTATTTGATAAAATATATATATATGGAAAAATTTGCACTCATCAAAAATGAAAAAACCCATCAAAGGAAAGACAAGTTTTTCTGTCTTTTCTTTTCTTTTCTTTCTTTTTCTATGTGATAAAAAATAGTAGTAAAAAAAAAACAAGTACCCATTAAAGAAAGTCTATCAAATGAAGAAACCCTCTAAAAAACAAGTTTTTCTTTTCATTCATTTCTATATAATGAAAAATAGAGAGAAAAAAAAGGTTATGCCTTTTTAGGGTTTGGTCTGCAACCCTTTTTTTGTCCATGTGAAGAAAGAAAAAGTGAGAGAGTGACATAAATGAACACAAGACAATAAGTAAAGCACATCGAAGAAGAGCAAGAAAGTGAGATAGTTCAAGATCTATGATTGGATTTTGCATTTAATGTAAAAGCTGAAGGAGAGGAATTTGATTATTTATTTATTTATTGTTGGGTGGGTGTTTGGAAACTAACCTTTAGATCGAGGCATTGTTCCCAATGGTAAGGGAGAGAGATTTGGGAATTGAGTTCTAAGGCGGTGTCGGAGGAATTAGAGAAATGATGATTTTCCGGCGAATCTGAGGTGGAGGAGCTGCCAAATCCGCCGCCGCTACCACTGATACTGCTTTGGTTGAGGGAACAGTTTTGAAGAGATCTCTCAAGCGAGGCAGTGATCGTCGCCATGTTTGGAGCTGACATTATTATCCAAAGTCCCAAAATATATACACACAGATAGTATAAGGAAATGTATAGAGAGAGAAAGAGAGGAGAGAGGAGAGAGAAGGAAAGGGGGAATTGTTTTGGTTTTACAGTGCAATGCAAGGGGAATATTGAAGTCAGAGGAAGTGAGGTGAGAGGTGGGTGGGCTTTGTGGGTGAGATAATAGAAACAAGAGAGATGGAATTTTAACGCGCTCTGAGAGAGCGTGAGATTCCTTTACCAAACACCCTGGTGGGACCAGGCTGTTCGTTCGCACTACTGTGCATTGGCATTTTGTCTCACGTTAAACCCGCACCTCTATTGTCAAGAAACGCGCGCATTGGACAATCCATTGCCATTTCCACTACTCCCACAAATTTTATTCGTGGTATTATTAAAAAGGAAAAATAATTGTTAAAATGAACCAAATATCTAAATCCATCTCCACAAAAATTGCTGGCCACCTTGACCTATGAGTGCACCGATTGAGTATAGTTTTAAGTTAAATCAAAATCGAATTCAAACACTGTGGTGGAACCAGACCTTAGCACTGTGCATGGCATTATGAAAGCAAGTCAAATATCTAAATCTTGACCATGTTAAATGCGATTTCAAGTTAAATCGAATTCAAATTCAAACATATTGATTGGATCATGTTGTTCCTTTGCATTGTGCGGCATTTTATCCCGCGTTAAACACGCACTTGATGGTCAAGATTAGTGTGCATTGAACAATCCATTGATATTTCCATTGCTCCACTTATTATATTACTTTCCTTGTTTAATAATTAAAAAGGAAAATCATTATTAAAGCTAGCCAATTATCTAAATCCATGCACACAACAATTGATGGCCACCTTATCCATGAGTGCATCCGGTTCAATTGAGTACGATTTGAGGTTAAATCGAAATTGAATCCAAACAAGTTGGTGGCACCAGGTCATTCGTTCCCACTGTGCATCGACATTTTGTCTCACGTTAAACTCGCACCTATGGTCAAGGTATGTGTGCATTCAACAATCCATTGTTATTTCACTACTAAACTTATTGTTTTTTTTGAATTCTATTATAAAAATGAAAAATAATTGTTGAAGCGAGACAAATATCTAAATCCATGTACATATCAATTGCTGGCCACCTTATCCTATGAGTGTGCATGGTTTGATTATGTATGGTTTCAGGTTAAATTGAAATCGAGTCCAAACACCCTTTGTGGGACTAGGATGTTCGTTCAAATTGTGCATTGGCATTTTGTTTCACGTTAAACTCGCCTTATGGTCAAGAAAGCCACATTGAACAAGCCATTGCTATTTCCACTACTCCATTTATTATATTCTTTGTATTATAAAAAAAAAGAAATTAATTGTTAATGCACGCCAAATATGTAAATCCATGTACTTTATAATTGCTAGCCACCTTATCCTATGAGTGCATACGATTTTATTAAGTACGATTTGAAGTTGAATTAAAATCGAATCTATTCCGATTGTTACTAAAAAAATCTAGAACTAGAATTGAAATTGTTGAATCCTGGAACCAGGTTAGGTTCTAAACCAAGATTCTGATGCTTCAATAACCTTCTTAAAAAAAATTGTAATAAGATACAGATCACCCCAGGCCATTGGTAGTACGTACCTTACTATTAATATTAGAATATAAATTGAATGCAAAAATACCATTAATCAAAGTTGTTAGGTTGTAGGTAACTGATAAGCACTGTTAATATTATAAATTAGAATATAGCATTGAATGCATACTTTACCTTTTTTTTTTTTTTTTTTTCATAATGAGAGTATAAGAAAAGGTCCCTACAAGCCTTAAACTTATTTTTCAAAATTTTTCATATATAGAATTTATATATATTTAGTTTTTGGTTCGGTCCTAATTGTGCTAAAACTAAAATCGAATTGTAAACTAACGATTTTTTAATTTAATTTTTAGATACAGAATCACAGAAAAACCAAAGACGGTTCGATTTGCACTGATTTATTATTTCCAACGATTTTTTGTGTACCCCTACCTTATGGTCAAGATAGGCATACATTGAAAAATTCTTTGTTATTTTCACTACTCTACTTATTATATTCCTCATATTATTAAATTAAAAAAAATAATTAATTATTAAAGTGAGCCAAAAAATCTAAATCCATGTCACAATGCTTGCTAGCCACCAAGCCTAACAAATAAGCATTAGTCTCAGGAGCGGAGCGAGAATTTTATTTCAGAGGGGGCACAATGCATTTGTTGAAAAAAAATAATAATAATAATAAATATGACAAATAGGAAGTATAATTTTTTTAAATCAAAAAGGCAAATAAGAAAAAAATAGTTGTAAAATAATATGCTAAATAAATACTGTAAAAAAAATATAGTTACAAATATAAGAATCAAAATATTAATTAATAATATTTTAATTAAATACAATCACAAATGTCATCGATATAAAGAAATAAGTTAAAAAAAAAATAGAAAAATACATTATTATACATAAGTGAAAAAAGAAATTTTTTGAAAAAGGAAACAAAAATCAAAAAAGGAAAAATATATTGTATACTTGAAGAAGGTATATATATAGCTATTTTTTTTCAAAAGGAAATTAGAAGAATTTGAAATTTTGAGGGGGGCACTATTTAAAATTACCATAAAAGTATATGTATATACCAAAAATATGTATCTATGTATAGTAGGTTGGAACAAAGTTAGGGGGGGCATGTGCCCCCTCTGGGCCTTAATTGGCTCCACCCTTGATTAGTCTAGAATGATCTTTAACGTTCAAGCCTATTGGGAGCAATAGTGTGAGTGTGTTTACTTGAAGGTTTTTTTTTTTAAATTTTTTTTCACATATAAATCAACTTAACTATGTATACGTGTTCTGAAATCATAATCATAGAGAGTGTGTAAGGTGGATAATATCTACCAGGTTATGAGGAGCCAATCCCTAGTAAAAAATGGGGAGCATGCAAAAAGCTATGAGCTAGGGTAATTCTAGTGAGTATAGTGGGTCCCAAAGGGGATGATTGTGACATCCACCATCGCCTAAAGGAGAGGTTATGTAACGACCCGGGTTTTCTTCAACCCGGTGGGTAAGTGATGAATTAAGGATTGACCCGTTAACGGATCCAGAATGCTGAAGCGAAAGGTAAACTATAGTCCTTTGAGATATAAATCATCTATAAGACTCCAATATGACATTCCATGAGGTCACGGAAGCTAAAGAGAGCTAAAGAGGAAACTAGGGTCAAAAAGGGTTAAATCCGTCAAACAAGGGCAAAATGGTCCATTCACAATTAAAAGGAGAAATTTGACTCTAAATAAGTCAAACAAGGTAAATACAACCTAATCTAATCATTTCAAAACATTCCAAGAGGTTCTAAGAACTTTGGGAAAGAATCCCCCAAAACGCCCTTTCCCGGTTTAAGCGAAAACTGACCCTACCTCACTAAATCATGGATATCTCTCACTGTGTTTTGAATCTGAGGATGGGATTGGTACCATTGGAAAGCTGACTCAAATCCTTGAGTTGAGGCTCAAGAATCACCCCATTTGGATTTGAAATAAAGGAGTTATGGCCTTTCAAAGTCGAAACAGCAGTGCTGAAACTGAACTAAAGCAACTGAAGTATGCAGGCTATTTCGGTCGACCGAAATGGAGTTTCGGATGACCGAAATGAATTTGCTGAGAGCTGAAAATATGATTTTTAAGTGTTCGTTGTTTCGGTAGACTGAAATAGAGGTTCGGTCGACCGAAATAGGCTTGAACAGTACTTTAAGCTACTGGAAAGTGAGGTTTTTGATGCAATGACAATTCCAATTGCCATCGGTCGACCGAAATGAAGTTTTGGTCTACCGAAACACCTCAAAAGCCTGCTGAAAAAGCTACTATGTGTCCTAGGTGCTAAGGTTCAACCTCTACTTTGAATCCCATGATGATTTGGTTCAAAACTGAGTTTCATGAAGATTCAAGTGTGTGAACATACCCACAACCTAGATATGACTGAATGAATACAAAACATTGGCTCATGGCCTCATACACTTCATTTACAAGATTTTCATATGCTAAACCTCCACGGTTAGTTAAATTATGCTTTCAAGACAACTAATGCACCAAGTGTATACAAGTGCTAAATTAAACATGTTTGGCCCTTGGCCTCATTACAAACACATTCATAGGGTATCAAAAGGTACACTTAAGTGCACATTACATAGTTTGAACAACAAATACATGTTTTGACATAAAAGCAAAATGGAACAAGATATGCTAACAAATGCATATTCTAACTTTGCAAAAATACTCCAAGTAATCTAGCAAGTCTAAGATTGTTGTGCATCCCACAATATGGCTTTTTTACCTGAAAAACACCCGGTAACTTCGGGGTGAGTAAACAAGTTTACTCATAGGGAATGCATAGGTTTATCTTTATACAAGGTTTGCAATTCAATACAATTTAATCCATGCTATTAAAGTAACATTAAAACTTTCAACATAGCATAATGAGATGTAAATTCACAAAGTTAACAACTTGAAATTTAAATGCGAAATCAAACCAAAGTAGATACTTGGATATTGCCCAGATTAAAACTGTACTCTTGAGATCACTTTAGGGCTATTAACCCATGGGTACCTTTCTCCTAGTGCGCATTATAATGTAGGGAGCTCTCTACCTCCCGTACTAGAACCAAGTCCTAGCCAAGTCATGTTCTTGATAATATCCCAAGTTTCCAAAATCAACAAGTAGAACAACTAGCCATGATATGTGATAAAACACAACAAGTTCCATGAATTGAATGACTAAATCATTAGAATAATAAGATAGAAATTAATTAAACTAGTTAAGTAATTTCTCTAGATTTCAAGAGTTGTCCAAATGATTCCAATTAAATATATGACAAGTAGTAACCCATAGACATGCCATATATCAAGTCAAAAATAGAATTTAAGCATGGTACAATTAAGTAGAATTTAAATCAATTAATTCATTTATTTCTTATTTCAATACAAGACATGCATACAACATGGATATCACTATAAGAAAAATTAAATCAATTGGGAGATAAATTATAACACCCCCTACCTCAATAGAAAATGGAATCTCTATAATCCTATGCAACAAGCTCAAAATGGAAAACCAAGCTAGGTTTTATA